GTGCGACGTTGAGACAAGACTTCCCAACCAGTTTCGAAGTAAAGAGACGCTCTACTAGCAAAAGATGGCAGGCCGGTGACAATACGCGCCGCTTCTAACTGGAGTTTTTCAAGTTTATTTGCATCGGCAGTTGTACAACCGTCCCAAACTTCGCAACAGTATTCAAGCAGAGGGAGTATAAAAGTAAGATAAATTCTGTTTAATGTCTTGCGATTTAAAGTATATTTTAACTTGCGGAGAATTCCTATTTGTTTCGTAACAGTTTTACAAATGTTATCAATATGGTGAGTCCATTTACAGTTAGCATCTAGGAAAATGCCTAGATGTTTATGATGTTCAATAAAATCAATATTAACATTATTAAAAATGAGATTGACATCAAGCTCAGCATTGGTATTTGAAATTAGTAGCGCTTCAGTTTTATTAGGATTAAATTTAACAAGCCAATTTTCTGCCCAGTTATGAATTTTTTCAAGATCTCGGTTAGTAGTAGTTTCTAGTTCATTTGCGGAAGGAGAAGAGACGGATAGGGAAGTATCATCAGCAAAAAGACGGGAAGGGCTGACAAGGTTATCAGTTATATCGTTGATATACAAGAGAAAAAGAAGCGGACCTAAGACAAAGCCCTGGGGTACACCAGCATTAGTTGTTTTAGAAGACTTGTTGATGGCGATTCTGTACATATCGGATAGCCAGTCTAAAATATTTCCATTTATTCCATAGCTTTTTAATTTGTGTACAAGACCTGCATGCCAAACCCGATATTATTTTAATATCTAAGGACAAAGTCAAACACAGCAAGTCGTGACTAAATAAGGATCACATTACCACTATCAAAAACTTAACTAAATAAGGATCACATTACCACTATCAAAAACTTAACTAAATAAGGATCACATTACCACTATCAAAAACTTAACTAAATAAGGATCACATTACCACTATCAAAAACTTAACTAAATAAGGATCACATTACCACTATCAAAAACTTAACTAAATAAGGATCACATTACCACTATCAAAAACTTAACTAAATAAGGATCACATTACCACTATCAAAAACTTAACTAAATAAGGATCACATTACCACTATCAAAAACTTAACTAAATAAGGATCACATTACCACTATCAAAAACTTAACTAAATAAGGATCACATTACCACTATCAAAAACTTAACTAAATAAGGATCACATTACCACTATCAAAAACTTAACTAAATAAGGATCACATTACCGCTATCAAAAACTACGCATTGGAAACTATTTTTTCCCGGCATCTGGAAAGAAAACCATACATTGCGGGATATTTATGAAAATAACTAAGATGAAATGAAAACAAACCCCAACAAATAACGTTTTGAGTGTGAAAATTCAGCGGGGTTAGACCCGGAGCGAAGCCTGTTATACTGCTGCTCTCTATAAGTGACTGTGCTTCTTAGTTATCGGAAGTGTGCTGGCGCAGCTTTGCTACATTTATATCCAAAACGAATTTAAGGGAAAAGACTGAAGTGCTCTACATTCAAATACTGTATATTGTTTGAGCAAGAAGGGTCCTCAATGCGATAAATTCGTTGTCTAGTCAGTTACTGACCCTCTACAGATATTTTGTGGTTAAAAAAACTGTTGAACGAATTTTATTTGACCAATTTTTGCAAAATTGGAATTCTGACAAAAAGGAATCCAGCAAAGGAATAAATTATGAATTATTTAAAGATGAACTAAAATTAGAAAATTATCTAAATATCCTGTCTACAAAAAATGCCCTTATGTTCTGTAAATTTAGAACTGTCAATGTCAGATTTCCAATAGAAAGAGGAAGATGGTTAAATATAGAAAGAAGAAATAGAATATGCCATTTATGTAATACTGGAATTAGAGATGAATTTCATTATATGTTTAATTGTCCAAATTTTTCAAATGAAAGAAAATTGTATGTTCCAAATTATTATAGCAGGCAACCAAACTGTTTAAAATTCCTGCAACTTTTTTCAACAAATAACAAAGTTTTACTAGTTAAAATATGCAAATATATTAATATAGTAATAGAGAGAGTCCGTTCCCCTGATTAAAACAGCACGTACTCTATCTTTAATGTACCCATTGTATATTTTCTTAATATCACATGTAAATTGTGGTTGAAAAGAATAAAACCTTGTCTTGTCTTGTCTTGTCTTGTCTTGACAGAACCATAGAGGGTCAGTAAGATGTAAAGGAGGCTCGGGCTCCGCCCTCGCCCTCTATAAATCTTACTGACCCTCTATGGTTCTGTAGAGGGCCAGTAACTGACTATATAACTAATATGGTTATCTTATGATAGCGCTTTTCACGCATTAAACATTACACTAATTGTCTGTACATTGTTTGTGGATATTGTTGGTGCGCCAAATCATCAATGCGCCGTCACTGTGCTAAATAACACAGTGTAGTAACAAAACCCCATAATAATGGCTTTACTTCTAGCTGGTCATGTTCTTTTTATCCATTTTCGTGTGTTATCATAGGTTCCTCCACATCAGTATTTAGGATGTCAACATATATATAAAAAAAACGACTTACAGCGGAGCCTTGATTACAAAACAAAACACAAAGACATACAATTCGGTTTAAATGCAAAACCCCCAAAAAGAAGGGCTATGGAATTTATTAAATTCATTTTTTCTTCTCTTTGGCATATTTCCTGATATTTCTTTATATTAATTCACTTAAGACTCCATACGATAAAAAAAAACCAAAACATTTTAGCTAAGGAATAATGTGTGTGCCAACATGAAAACAAAGGTTACGTAATTAGCTGTGATCAACCATCTTGGAGGGCGGTTAAATGACACAACCGTGACGTACAGGGGCGTTATCAATTTCCTATATTTACTGAATATATTTTATAATAGGCCCTTGAGTGAATGAATATCAAACCTAAATTTAAATAGAAAATGTGTTTTCACATAAAAGAATATATACACCTTGATATACATTGTATGTGCGGTCGGATGATGTTCAAAACATTGAACCCCATTCATTGACGCCATTGTCAGATTGTTTTAACTACTATGAAGATCGAGCACGTCCTCAAACAGCGCGTCCCAGACAGCGTAAAACTCGTCATTTTCAATGAACCCGTCCTCTGTGAATAAAAAAGGGAGGGATCATATCAGCTCCGATAGAGTAATAATCTTTCTTATACAATCGTAAATATATAGCAATCTCCTTGCTTCTCCTATATTCATGATATCGATGTATGATAATTACTTATATTCTTGAATTAATATTGGGTATTGCTAGGATGGTCACTTCAATCGAACGACTATATTCAAGAGTAAATATTGCGGAAAAGGAAAAGTGTTTAAATGTTCAATTGGTAGCTGTCATATTAACGTTTTCTTCGATATGGATTTTTCTTTTTTTCCCCTTTAGAATCACTGGTGAGGTGAGTCCTAAACTAATCAAATGATCTGATATGATATTATAATAATATCGGTAAGATTGATTACATTCATGATTAAAGGCCTGACTGATATGATACATGATACACCTGTAAAATGGCTGATCAAACTGGGATGGATACGGAAACCTGAAGTGAACCAACGACATACCTACACTTTAGTTAAAAATCTGATGTACTAAATGTTAACTTTGCTTGGCCTTTTGCATCTATACGAACAACCGTGTGGTAATCGATAGAAACACCTAGGTTGGTCTCTTTTACCCACAATGCAGCTTGGCCTAGTAGACCTCGTCATCACCCGTCATTATAACTTTCTATATACGATTTCATTTATAATTGCTAAAAAATATGCGTGTTCCGGTAAACGGACGATTAATTTTATCAAATGCTATTTTGTTTCTTAATATTTCATAATGGCAATGTTTTCTAAAAAAAAATAGGGAAGATATTATAACTACTGTCCTCATCATTCCTATCTATTATAGGGAAGAGTTTATAACTACTGTCCTCATCATTCCTATCTATTATAGGGAAGAAATTATCAACCCTCCCCTCAATATTCCTATCAAATACAGGGAAGAATTTATCAACACTCCCCTACATGTAATTATTCCTATTTAAGACAGGGAAGAATTTATCAGCACTCCCCTCACCATTCTAAGCTAAGACATGAAAGAATTTATCAAAACTTCCCTTACTATATCAAAACTTTCCTTACTATTCCTATCTAAGACAGGGTAGATTTTATTAAAGCTTCCCTTACTATTCCTATCTAGGACAGGAAAGAATTTATCAACACTCCCCTCACCAATCTAAGATAAAACATGGAAGAATTTATCAATACTCCCCTCACCATTCTTAGCTAAGACATGGAAGAATTTATCAATACTCCTCTGCCATTCTTAGCCAAGACATGGCAGAATTTATCGATATTCTCCTAACCATTCTTAGCCAAAACATGGCAGAATTTATCAACACTCCCCTAACCATTCTTAGCTAAGACATGACAGAATTTATCAATACTTCCCTTACTATTCCAATCTAAGACAGGGAAGAATTTATCAACACTCCCCTTACCATTCTTAGCTTAGACATGGAAGAATTTATCAACACTCCCATAACCGTTCTAAGGTAAGACGGGAACGAATTTATCAATACTTCCTTTACTATTCCTATCTTAGAAAGGGAAGAATTTATGCACACTCCCCTACATGTAATTATTCCTATTTAAGACAGGGAAGAATTTATCAGCACTCCCCTCACCATTCTAAGCTAAGACATGAAAGAATTTATCAAAACTTCCCTTACTATATCAAAACTTTCCTTACTATTCCTATCTAAGACAGGGTAGATTTTATTAAAGCTTCCCTTACTATTCCTATCTAGGACAGGAAAGAATTTATCAACACTCCCCTCACCAATCTAAGATAAAACATGGAAGAATTTATCAATACTCCCCTCACCATTCTTAGCTAAGACATGGAAGAATTTATCAATACTCCTCTGCCATTCTTAGCCAAGACATGGCAGAATTTATCGATATTCTCCTAACCATTCTTAGCCAAAACATGGCAGAATTTATCAACACTCCCCTAACCATTCTTAGCTAAGACATGACAGAATTTATCAATACTTCCCTTACTATTCCAATCTAAGACAGGGAAGAATTTATCAACACTCCCCTTACCATTCTTAGCTTAGACATGGAAGAATTTATCAACACTCCCATAACCGTTCTAAGGTAAGACGGGAACGAATTTATCAATACTTCCTTTACTATTCCTATCTTAGAAAGGGAAGAATTTATCAACACTGCCCGCACCATTCTTAGCTAAAACAGGGAAAAATGTATCAATACTTCCCTTACTATTCCTGTCTCAGACAGGGAGCGTATTATTTTTGACCTCACCATTCTTATCAACGACATGGAAGAGTAACAACATTGCCCTCATCATACTTATCTAAGACATGAAAGAGTATTAAAACTGCCCTCGCATTCTTATCTAACACAAACATAGAAGAGTATCAACCTTGCTCTCACCATTCTTATCTAAGACATGGAAAGGTATAACACTGCCCTCACCATACTTATCTAAGACATGGAAAGGTATAACACTGCCCTCACCATACTTATCTAAGACATGGAAAGATATAACATTGCCCTCACCATACTTATCTAAGACATGGAAAGGTATAACACTGCCCTCACCATACTTATCTAAGACATGGAAAGGTATAACACTGCCCTCACCATACTTATCTAAGTCATGGAAAGGTATAACACTGCCCTCACCATACTTATCTAAGATATGGAAAGGTATAGCATTGCCCTCATCATACTTATCTAAGATATGGAAAGGTATAGCACTGCCTTCACCATACTTATCTAAGACATTGAAGAGTATAAACTGCCCTCACCATTCTTATCGAAGAGAGGGTAGAGTTTATCGAGGTCCGTTATGTCAATGACTGTGTCGTGGTTGACGTCCATCTCAATGAAGAAGAGGAGAGCGTGGTCAGTGTGGGGGAGGCGGTTGGATATCCAGTGGTCTCTAAATTCCTTGGCGGTAATCCGGCTATCGTCTACGGTAGGGAATAACACTCCATGGTATCAGTAGGTACACGTTATAAGTGACATTGATAGTTTAAAGAATGCAAACACACACAAATTATTATGGAATTTTGATTGAATCTACATTTCTATTTGATAAAGGCAAACCTACTACTCACTTCATGGTCTTATTCGTAAAAGCATTATGCCGTATCACATAGTCATGCAATATTTACTACATCCCATCTACAACAAAGCAAATCCACACAAAGAAAACTGTTTAAACACTCCTTTTCAAACAGCAAAGCTAACAGAACAGCACAACCCGATTTAAGAATAAAGCTTAAATGTATAACCCGACACATACAAAGAAAGGTAAACCTCGGATCTTACACGGCAGCCCGTATACCAGTAATACAATGGTAAAATTTTAATATGATAACAACTTCACAAGCTAAAAAACTATCTCACATTTTCTTAAACATTATATATCACAAAGTATTTTACAGCTGAGAATTCATATAAAGTTTGAATCATGCTATTACCGAGTTTATGGAGTGATGAATTAAGTTGGTCAACATGAATTACTTTGCAGCATCTGTATCCATTAGCCAATGGAGTTAACAAACAAGATCTTAAAACTGGTGATTTGATATTGTATTGATTCCAATATGTTTTGTTATGTCTGACTGCTGTCTATCATGTTTATCAAGCTCAAATTAGTTATTTTTCAAATTTCAGGAGGAAAAAGGGAACTTTTTTTAAATTTTTGTTTTCTTATTTGAACTTGTTGAGTAACATTGTGGGATACGTATACTAGAAAACGATCATATTTTTCGAAATGTTCGTGCCATTAAGGAATTGGTTTGAGATGTAACGAAATATTAACTGTCCGTGCTGTACGGTATGTTTGTTTTTTACTTCAACTTTCTGAACTGGTCGATTTTAATCTATTCGCTGGCAGGGTGCTCCCCATCTCTTGGAAACCTTATGACACGAGGCAGCGCTAGAATATTTCTATTTGTTTTTTATAAGAAAAGGATTATTTGTCATATTAATACCAGAGAACGTGTTAGATAGGGGTACTTGCTCTCTGAGCTGGAATATGTGATAAGTTTTGGTTAATTTCTCTCATTAATACAGTACATATTATAATTGTTGACATTTGTTTAATACAAAATCTTGTTCTTACATTTTGAGATTAAAACTTATAAACCCCCCTATGTAACTGTATACTTTGGTAGTGTATACCCATTCAATTGTGATATATGACACTGAAATGAACAATATTGACTTGATTTGTCAGGGAAAAATAAGTTATTTTGATGTCATTTCCAATTGTGGCGGTGACGTTATTTCCAGAACTGATACTTTTTCATATCGTCAAGGTTAACATTCTCAAATCGATACTTGTGTCGAGTCCAGTTGGAGTGAGGATGCATGGACATTGGCTATGAACTCTGGGGAGCGTTCTGGTCAGTATCGCTCCCACCGAATCCAACATTGCCACTTAATATACTAAAGATCATTTTACATATACATGTAGACTCTTTGCAATGTGCTATAAATAAATTGTCTCTATTTTGAATAATAGGTTTAATTTCATGCATGTAAATTTGATAAAAAAAAACAACCTTTGAACGGTTCATACTAATAATAGTTATTTACCTTCATGACGTCACAACATAAGCGATGTCACAATTACCGGAAATATGCCTTACACTGCCATGGTTGCAATTGGATTTTGGTAGCTTCATTATAAGGCAGTTGTAATGAATGAGGACGTAAATATAGCTTGGTCATTTAGTAACATTATCCGGTAACCGACGGCTGTATCGCTGTCTTATTAGTACTACCAATTTATGCCCGACGTTTACAGGTAATGATGATGGTGTGTGTATTATGATAGGGTTATAGGGGTTATACGTGTTAAAGTCACTTACGGTTAGAATCAAATGACATCAACCAAAAGTTATGAAATTCCGGTTTGCTCATTGCACCTTGAGCGTTGTCATAGCGCTCGAACAAAGTTTCATAGGCAGGTGTGTTCCCTGATACCATACTAGAGAAAACAACAGGCATAATCATTACGCATATATAAAGGTATGTTGTATGTTGAAACAAGAGCTACCAAAAATATAAAATGTTGCAGTTTTAGGGAGATATTTGTTCATAGTTGAGAACACTAAACCAAATATCAAATAGAAAGATTGATTTTTTAACAAGTCATCTTGTAGTAAACCTTTATCTTTGTGGTGAAAACCATAAACAGAAGTATATGGTCATGTATGTAAAAAAGGAAAAACAAAGCATCAAAAATACAGGGGACATCAGAACAATGAAATACGTCACGAACTTCCAAAAGAAGAAGGACGGAATAGGGTAAGACGTTCAACATCTATCTCAGAGTTAAAAATCACGATAACGGCCGAAATATCATCCTCCAGGTTCTGAGGGTCACGCTCACTTAATCCTCTGCACAGAACGTAAGTGAGTGAACCCTTTGGAATTCCAAGGATGCTGTAATATGAGGACAATGGGTTTTGGTGAAAGGACAAGAATAGATTGATATGAATGGTTTATATTAATGGAAGCATGATTGACTGAGTGATGGGATGAGCCAAAATATTAGCATTAACCAATGATAAATACACTGGTTAATACTTTATGGTGGCTTCTGCATTGTTGAAATCTAGTTAACAAAATATATTTCATAATAGCAAGTGTGACCATCATGAGGGTAGCAGGTACTTATAATTTGACAACATTAGATACAAACTAGGACGATTAACTATGAAAGGAAAATCGTGATAAGCAATAACAAGCTTTATATTATATGAAACAATGACATGACCAGCATTCACTGAACAACCACTTCAAATCAATTTACATTTGCAAACATCTTACCAGAGAAACGCAAAAAGTGCGGCAAGACGAAACATGGCAGCAATTCTAATGATATCGAGTATTGTGTATATACTGATAAGGTATTTACATCCTTAGAGAGTAGTGAGTTGTATGATAAAGGCACCTGCAGAGATAAGGAATGACTATTTACCTGACCAGTTTTCATGGCTTTGTACTGCCACTCCCTTTCATTCATAACAATGGAAAACATGACATAACACGTAGCATGCATAACGGTTATGTAATTAAAGGATGACATGTTGCTCCTGAAACAAGGACAGCTAACGGTTATGTAATTAAAGGATGACATGTTGCTCTTGAAACAAGAACACCTAACGGTTATGTAATTAAAGGATGACATGTTGCTCCTGACACAAAGACAGCTAACGGTTATATAATTAAAGGATGACATGTTGCTCCTGAAACTAGGACAGCTAACGGTTATGTAATTAAAGGATGACATGTTGCTCCAGACACAAGGACGGCTAACGGTTATGTAATTAAAGGATGACATGTTGCTACTGAAACAATGACAGCTAACGGTTATGTAATTAAAGGATGACATGGTGCTCCTGAAACAAGGACAGCTAAAGGTTATGTAATTAAAGGATGACATGTTGCCCCTGACACAACGACAGCTAACGGTAATGTAATTAAAGGATTACATGTTGCTCCTGACACAAGGACGGCTAACGGTTATGAAATTAAAGGATGACATGTTTCTCTTGAAACAATGACAGCTAACGGTTATGTAATTAAAGGATGACATGGTGCTCCTGAAACAAGGACAGCTAAAGGTTATGTAATTAAAGGATGGCATGTTGCTCCTGACACAAGGACAGCTAACGGTAATGTAATTAAAGGATTACATGTTGCTCCTGACACAAGGACGGCTAACGGTTATGTAATTAAAGGATGCCATGTTGCTCCTGACACAACGACAACTAACGGTAATGTAATTAAAGGATGACATGTTGCTCTTGAAGCAAGGACAGCTAACGGTTATGTCATTAAAGGATGACACGTTGCTCCTGACACAAGGACAGCTAACGGTTATGTAATTAAAGGATGACATGTTGCACCTGACACAACGACAGCTAACGGTAATGTAATTAAAGGATGACATGTTGCTCTTGAAGCAAGGACAGCTAACGGTTATGTAATTAAAGGATGACATGTTGCTCCTGACACAAAGACAGCTAACTGTTATATAATTAAAGGATGACATGTTGCTCCGGTAATGTAATTAAAGGATGACATGTTGCTCCTGAAACAAGGACAGCTAAAGTTTATGTAATTAAAGGATGACATGTTGCACTTGAAACAAGGACAGCTAACGGTTATGTAATTAAAGGATGACATGGTGCTCCTGAAACAAGGACAGCTAAAGTTTATGTAATTAAAGGATGACATGTTGCTCCGGTAATGTAATTAAAGGATGACATGTTGCTCCTGACACAACGACAGCTAACGGTAATGTAATTAAAGGCTGACATGTTGCTCTTGAAGCAAGGACAGCTAACGGGTATGTAATTAAAGGATGACATGTTGCTCTTGAAACAAGGACAGCTAAAGGTTATGTAATTAAAGGATGACATGTTGCTCCTGACACAACGACAGCTAACGGTAATGTAATTAAAGGATGACATGTTGCTCCTGACACAAGGACAGCTAACGGTTATGTAATTAAAGGATGACACGTTGCTCCTGACACAAAGACAGCTAACGGTTATGTATTTAAAGGATGACATGTTGCTCCTGACACAAAGACAGCTAACGGTTATATAATTAAAGGATGACATGTTGCTCTTGAAATAAGGACAGCTAACGGTTATGTAATTAAAGGATGACCTGTTCCTCTTGAAACAAGGACAGCTAACGGTTATGTCATTAAAGGGTGACACGTTGCTCCTGACCCAAAGACAGCTAACGGCTATGTCATTAAAGGATGAAACGTTGCTCCTGACACAACGACGGCTAACGGTTATGCTCCTGACACAAAGCCAGCTAACGGTAATGTAATTAAAGGCTGACATGTTGCTCTTGAAATAAGGACAGCTAACGGCTATATAATTAAAGGATGACACGTTCCTCCTGACACAAGGACAGCTAACGGTTATATAATTAAAGGATGACATGTTGCTCCTGACACAAGGACAACTAACGGTTATGTCATTAAAGGATGACATGTTGCTCTTGAAACAAGGACAGCTAACGGTTATGTAATTAAAGGATGACATGTTGCTCCTGACAGAAAGACAGCTAACGGTAATGTAATTAAAGGATGACATGTTGCTTCTGACACAAATACAGCTAACGGTAATGTAATTAAAGGATGACATGTTGCTTCTGACACAAAGACAGCTAACGGTAATGTAATTAAAGGATGACATGTTGTTCCTGACACAAAGACAGTTAACGGTGATGTAATTAAAGGATGACATGTTGCTCCTGACACAAAGACAGCTAACGGTTATGTAATTAAAGGATGACATGTTGCTCCTGAAACAAGGACAGCTAACGGTTATGTTATTAAAGGATGACATGTTGCTGCTGACACAAGGACAGCTAACGGTTATGTCATTAAAGGATGACATGTTGCTCCTGACACAAGGACAGCTAACGGTTATGTCATTAAAGGATGACATGTTGCTCTTGAAACAAGGACAGTTAACGGTTATGTTATTAAAGGATGACATGTTGCTCCTGACACAAGGACAGCTAACGGTTATGTAATAAAAAGATGACAAGTTGCTCTTGAAACAAGGACAGCTAAAGGTTATGTAATTAAAGGATGACATGTTGCTCCTGACACAAGGACAGCTAACTGTAATGTTATTAAAGGATGACATGATGCTCTTGAAACAAGGACAGCTAACGGTTATGTAATTAAAGGATGACAAGTTGCTCCTGAAACAATGACAGCTAAAGGTTATGTAATTAGAGGATGACATGTTGCTCCTGACACAACGACAACTAACGGTTATGTAATTAAAGGAAGACCTGTTGCTCCTGACACAAGGACAGGTAACGGTTATGTAATTAAAGGATAACATGTTGCTCCTGACACAAGGACAACTAACGGTTATGTAATTAAATGATGACATGTTGCTCCTGAAACAAGGACAGCTAACGGTTATTTATTTAATGGATGACATATTACTAATTTGGACAGGACATCAAAGGAATAGGAAATTAAACAATGAGACTGTGGAGGAAAGAACGTTTATGATTGTGATATCACAGGATGAAATGTTGCTACCTAGCAAAGGACAGTTTGAAATTGAGGTCGTCAGAGAGAGCTTGATGTGATGCTCCTGACACAACGACAGCTAACGGTTATGTAATTAAAGGATGCCATGTTGCTCCTGACACAAGGACAACTAACGGTTATGTAATTAAATGATGACATGTTGCTCCTGAAACAAAGGATGACATGTTGCTCTTGAAACACGGACAGCTAACGGTTATGTAATTAAAGAATGACATGTTGCCCCTGACACAAGGACAGCTAACGGTGATGTAATTAAAGGATGACATGTTCCTCCTGAAACAAGGACAGCTAAATGTTATGTAATTAAAGAATGACATGTTGCTACTGACACAAGGACAGCTAACGGTGATGTAATTAAAGGATGACATGTTGCCCCTGACACAAGGACAGCTAACGGGTATGTAATTAAAGGATGACACGTTGCTCTTGAAACAAGGAAAGCTAACGGTTATGTAATTAAAGAATGACATGTTGCTACTGACACAAGGACAGCTAACGGTTAGGTAATTAAAGGATGACATGTTGCTCCTGAAACAAGGACAGCTAACGGTTATTTAATTAATGGATGACATATTACTAATTTGGACAGGACATCAAAGGAATAGGAAATTAAACAATGAAACTGTGGAGGAAAGAACGTTTATGATTGTGATATCACAGGATGAAATGTTGCTACCTAGCAAAGGACAGTTTGAAATTGAGGTCGTCAGAGAGAGCTTGATGTGAAGATGACCATTATTGTAGGTACATGTAAATGTTAGGATATGAAGTAATTCATTTAGTTGAAAAATCATTTTATTTCAATTCTCTGTTTAAGTGTCTACGTATCATCTTAAAAATATCCAAGGTCCCCAGTCGGTCTTGAAACGTTACCACACGTTTAGTACGGACATTGTTTGTGTATTAGGTAAAACGTCCATATTACATATTTCCAAACTGATTATTTAATCTTATTGAAGTTATCATCATAACAATCCTTATGACATACTCAAATTTCATTCCCATGTTATTTCTATATCTGTGGGCGCGAAACGTGTGTGCACAGATGGCTTTGGATATATGGCATAATGGCCAAAATGGGTCAAAACTTATCACACCCACCAGATCAGTCGAAATACTATGGGAAGGATGGCACATGTTTACTACGTCATAGTTACTTACATATTTCATTTGGAGGGACACGAACCCGTTTACACAGACAGACAAGGATTATTCTGTAACTTTTGCAATGGTTCCTCTACTACTTTTGTCGCTGGTAGTGTCTGGGTAAGATTGGCCTCACATGTGAAATAAATTCAGATGTATATTACCTTATGACAGTTACTTCTAACGCTATGTAGAACATATTTTTATATAACTAGATGTATACTTATAAACCTGCTAACTATACAATGTAAACTTCTTATATACTAATGTCGTTGTTTGTAACCAACTTGATGTGTAATCATATTAAATAATAAATAGTCTGTTATGTTGAATTATTATACCTCTACTTATTTTACACTATACAAAAGTAACCACATAAACAAGCTATTTCCCCTCTAACTGCATGCCAGGGAAATAGTTCGTCTGGTGGGGTGCGATAGTTTTGAAACTATTTCCCTCGGAAAATGCGGGAAATTGAGTGACGTCGTGGGCGGGGCCTGACCGAATATTGATCAATCAGCGAAATCGAATCACAATAAAGTGTCCCAACTGTTGAAAATTTGTTGTCTAATAATATTTAGAATATTGTAAGGGAGTGTTTGTATCGGTATAATAAAACAGTTGAAGTATGGGTATTTCGGGATATAGCAAGTTTATGATCCCCCTCGTCCAGGACTATTTCCCTCGGCTTCGCCTCGGGAAATAGTCCTGACTCCGGGGGAGCATAAACTTGTTATATCCCTCATACCCATACTTTAACTGTTAACTATTTGAACAAAACAATATTGATAGGAAAATCGATATTGCTTTCAATGTTGTTTTTGCTGCTGTAAGCTTGTTGGTTTGTTCCTCTTTTGTTTATTTAGGGGGCGGAGTGAAAATTGTTTTACCTTACATTTTTTACTTTTTATGAACTTGCAGAGTTTTGTCGAAATCGATATCGAGCTCGACATTGTTCCATGACTTCTCTGCTGACAACAGACACTTAACAAAGACCGAGTTTGCCCACATCTTACTCTCCTTTGATAGTAACAGTAAGTCGTTTATGTACGAGTTATTCCCCTTGAAATACATTTGACTTGATATTAAAATTGACTCGTTCCTTGCCATTCTTATCAAAATATCGAGCAAATAATTATGTGAAATTATTGTAACAATGTAAAGTAGCTATTATATATATACGAAATTGATAGCCTTATCGTATATCACATGCATGTTTGACATTCTTATAAAAAATGGATAGAACATGAAAGCATGCAGTTTGAACCCTTACATTATTTTCATATATCAATAATCAACCCGACGAAAAAGTTGTTATTACGCAAAATAACACTTCGTGTAACTTGTGCATTACTAATGTTTGTATAAGGACAAAATAGTTTTCTGATAACAGCATATTCCAGTGCTCGTTTCCTATTTGTTTAAGTTGATCGTCGACGAGTTTCGTTGAGTGTGTTAACCCTGTAATATATGTTGTATATGACCTTATTAACTAACACAGTGTTAATAAGATCTACACACAGATGATATACTTTGCAGTTGCAATTGTTTGTTGAGGTAACGATGTAGTTATATTGACTTGAACAAAAAAGCATTATAACCAAGCCGAATCGGGGCTAATATAACTTTTCAGGTCTATATCACATATTCGCCGAAATGAAAGCCCTTCATTTTCACATTAGATGCGGAATTATGTTTTATTTGTTTTATCTAATAAGACGGATCGTTAAGAAAATCGTCAAAAGAAAATACTCCATTTGGTAGAGAACAATTGTGATTTCCACAATTGAAGTGACGCCATAAAGAAATTGGTCGCCCACTGTCCCTGGAAATATATATATAGTAACACCAAATTATTATCACAAACCACCGACATCCATATATTCGTGATTATGATCAAACCAATGAGGATGTAGGAAAAGCTGAGTCATTATGTAATTAATATAATGATGATAAACTAAACGTCGGACATGTACATCACCGTCCTGATAAGTGACACCGGATACTGACGCCGACTCGCCCGTCCGTCCACGTGCTAGCGTCAGTAACATATTCACTCTCTTTACGTTTTACAGGTGACAATCACGTGTCCATATCCGAGTTCGAATCTGGATGGGCTCATAAACATATGAGAGATCCTGATTTAGCCGGATATTTCTTCACTGTGGCTGATGAGAACGACGACTTGCGCATAACAAGGGCTGATATGGACTATCTGTTTACCATCATGGATTTCGACGGTTTGTGACATCGTTATACTGTAATCAATTGAATGGGTTTCAAATTAAGTTTCCTGTGGTTTCCGTAGTAACGATAGAAGACATGATTTATACTAGACACCAGCCGGAAACAACCTTATCGTCGGGATTGTGCCAAACTTCCGGTATAATCCATGTTAAATTAATTGGTTTTGGGTTTTGTAATTATGAAATGAAGGTGATATATCCGAGTATTTAGTAACCACTTAATACAGATTAATCAAATCATTTATAATCATATTGTTTGTATGCGTTTGTTGTAAGGTATGAGTATCTGATTTGTTAAAATTGTTGTAACTCAATAACAATATATACCATACATTGCTATTTCTACTTGCTTTGTTGGTCCATTCTCCGTTTCTGTGTTCATATTCAAATTGAACTTAGAATTTTGTAGTAGTCATGAAAGAACTATCAAGATACGACATTACGGTCGTTGATTTCCTTGGCATTTGTAGTAACGTACTTACCCATCCGTTTAAGACATTTCATGCAATGTTGAAATGTTGAGGATCAGTTCGCTATTGTTATACCAGGTATAAACAACAGGTGTCTTATTGTAACATAGCTAATGCTGATCTTTCTCATGTTAAAGTAGGTGTTGTTTCTAACATAAATTTCACTGATTAACTTTTCTAATGGTAGAACCTCGTGTTTCTATAATTCTCGTAGGGAAAAGAATAACTTGCTCTAGTTTAATATGATATTCTGTTTTATTCTGATCAGCTGATGATACCCTCTCATCTTCTGAGTTCCTCACGGGATGGCACAACTTCTTCGAAGCCGACGACCACGACGACTAGAATTGATGATTTTATGATGATTCTGTGTTTCCAAATAAACAGAAACATATTTCTTTCATTCAGTCTTGATTGTTTATTAATAAACTTCATACCAAAGATGAAATAATACTGAACATTATGCATACTGAGTTATGGTTAAGGAGGTTAAAAAGCGAATGCACTTTGTGGACCAAAGCTCTGCATGTATTGTAACTATATACCCATAAGATATAAACTTTATTTATTTAACAACAATTATGAAATAAGTTATTTCAGCTTATATTAATCACTCTTGTTGGCCCGGATGTTAGCGCGTGGGGGTCTTAGTGTGGGAGGAAAGCGGAGTACCCGGAGAAAACCCACGTGGTCTGGCAGGTGACCCCAACCTTTTCACGTCCGATCGGGGAATCGAACCCCGGCCGCTTTGGTGAAAGGCAAGTGCGCTATCCACTGCACCACCCGACCACCCAACTATTGTAACTATAAGGGAAAACACACAAAATGAACAACTGAATGTCTAGCGTTGTCTTCCCTTATTTTTAATAAATGGAGAGTTGTGGTCCTCCAATTGCATCCGCTATTTATCCTATTGACCAGAATGTTGAACTCATGTCCGTTACCAGTAAATGTTACTAGGACCAACATCCGAGAGATGGGATTCCCAATGATGCTTCCCGATACCCTCTTGTTAAACATAATGTTACGTCGGCCTTTATGCAGGGAGAGAAATTTCCGGTTAAGTCACGGTATATCACTAAATACTTACAGGATATTGCCTTAATTAGCCAAACACTGGGATCCTATTCAAGTTCTTTATAAGCTTAATCCTTACGACTCGTCGGTTAAAAGTACCACTAAGGATGAAATAGAACAAAACACACACATTAATGACAAAAAACACATGTGTAGAAAATACGTGTACACATTTAGCTCTCCATTGTGTTAGATTTTATATCATTGCGCTTTACAGTGCCAAATATTTGCGTCCTTAATACCATGCAATATATGTTCATCTACGAATTACAATCATGATCATTCTTTCCGTTTATATACATATTGAAAAAGAAGGATGCTTATAAATAATAATAATCCTACATTTGTACTATCAACCACCTTGTTACAAACGTGAGAATCACATTTATCTATATTATGGCAATAATGGTAGCCTCTCCTATGAAATATTCATGTCACAATTGATTCACCAATACAGTTGAGACTCTGTTTTTACCTATTGATTGAAAATATATAACGCTTTTTATTGAAATACCTACCTCTTGCTTATTTCTCCATGTGTATTAATACCGTGATTTGTTGTGTTTTAACACCGCGTTATACCTTTAATATCATGTTAACATTGCGTTATACCTTTAATATCATGTTACCGTTGCGTTTTTTGTGTCAACACTGTTATGTTGTTACAGTTTACCGGTGAGATTGTAAATCTTAAAATGTTAAAGAAAAAAACCATAGCAGCAATAAACTAGTACAAAGCGAAGTTGCTACGAGCATACTCAGTATGGTATAATAGGAGACAGCTAGCTATAGACGTGTAAAATAGTCACTGATTTCATTGACGGAGATATCAAACCATAACTCGTCCACATTCATCATAAAATGAAATCCTACCTCCTATTTTCCCGTGTGAGGTATACCGCCTAAACACGTGACTAGATGATACTCAGGTAAATTAACAATATGAACTGACTTACACGGGTTGTACAAGTAGATGAAATATGAAGATATTCCGATAGCTTGCTTTTAATCTGCAAGTACAGGTGGCGCGCAGATGGGTACCGAATAACAGCCACGTGACTAGTCTCGAAACGCTCCTCTCGGGCACGTGACCATCCTTCTGGTAGCCATTGTTTCGTAGTTTGAACTGACATCCAACATCAGTCGTGGCATTATTTTCTGATCATTTTTGTGTACATTACACAGATAAAATGTATTAAAGTAATTATTGCAATAAATTTTAGTGTTTCGACGATCAGAGTGGATTACACCGCAGCTTATTTTTGGGTGTCTTAATTAAACATAAAATTCGACAAACCGCCTGCATGAGTGTTTCTGACAAATATCTGAATTGCCTTCTTTAGGAAAAAAATGAGTGGGGTGTTTTCATAATGAGATTTAAGTTTGTGGACGACAGATACAGATCATGAATTCTTTGTGCAAAACAGTGTTTTACATTTGTATGATAATTGATAGAAAATATTGTGTTATGCTAATCAACCAGCGCTCTATAATAAATAGGAATATGGTGCTATTTCGGATGTCATGTTTATTATTATGTGTATATAAGATATTGAAAGGTAAGCAGTTGAATATCAAATATATTGCTCAAGAATGGCAAATTTTATTAATTATCACGAGTGCATTATCACGAGACGGAGTGAAATAAATTTTAAAATCTGCCATGCGAGTAAATCTATATATTAATTGACCAATGTATTTCTCAATACTAGACTTTGAAATTTTAAAAATCATCATTCCCATTTTTGTTTTTGCGGTTCACAGTTGTCGATCAGGACCAAGTCCAAGGCTTTTATCCATTAAACGGTAGGAAACGTCCCATGTTTGAATTATTTCATTTACAAAACCATAAACTCCAAATTATATTTATTGATTGATTAAAGTAATTACTTATTTTGTTGCTAAAATGTACTGATACGGTACAATTTGTCAAGAAGGCAATATCGCGAAAAAGATGGGATGGAATTTTCTAAAAGATTTCTGAGTTCTTTGTTTGGTAACTCGTGCCGGGGGTGATTGAAATGGTACGTTGTTGAGCTCAATATTTTGTGAAGAGATCGTTTTGTCTAAAAGCTTTCAAGTGCAAAGATTTGTTAATACAATGTACTTCCGTTTAGAAGTCAGACACGGAGCTTGTCCAACATATCCTTGCCATTTCATCATGCCGACATGTCCAACACATTCTTGCCATTTCATCATGCCGGCATGTCAAACACATTCTTGCCATTTCATCATGCCGGCATGTCAAACACATTCTTGCCATTTCATCATGCCGGCATGTCAAACACATTCTTGCCATTTCATCATGCCGGCATGTCCATCACATTCTTGCCATTTCATCATGCCGGCATGTCCATCACATTCTTGCCATTTCATCATGCCGGCATGTCAAACACATTCTTGCCATTTCATCATGCCGGCATGTCAAACACATTCTTGCCATTTCATCATGCCGGCATGTCAAACACATTCTTGCCATTTCATCATGCCGGCATGTCAAACACATTCTTGCCATTTCATCATGCCGGCATGTCAAACACATTCTTGCCATTTCATCATGCCGGCATGTCAAACACATTCTTGCCATTTCATCATGCCGGCATGTCAAACACATTCTTGCCATTTCATCATGCCGGCATGTCCATCACATTCTTGCCATTTCATCATGCCGGCATGTCAAACACATTCTTGCCATTTCATCATGCCGGCATGTCAAACACATTCTTGCCATTTCATCATGCCGGCATGTCAAACACATTCTTGCCATTTCATCATGCCGGCATGTCCAACATATCCCTGCCATTTCATCCTGCCGACATGTCCAAAATATCCTTGCCATTTCATCATGCCGACATGTCCAACACATCCTTGCCATTTCATCATGCCGACATGTCCAACATATCCCTGCCATTTCATCATGCCGGCATGTCCAACATATCCCTGCCATTAGTTCCATCCAGTTTGTTCCCATCTTAAGTCATGTTCACCACTTTATGGAAACAATTCTATGAGGGGATTTAGGACTCTGGTCTACCAATCGCAGCACTCGGAAGTGGAAAGGTTGTGCTTGATTTTACCTGATATCACATATCGCACATCTTCACTGCAGTAAAATAACAGTTTTAACTAAATAATAATTTCTAATGTTTCGTTGTTAAAAGTTTCATATATGTATATTTCACTCTACTTAACATTCTTTACACTTTAAGTACGTACTTAAATAAAAAACAAAATAATTCAAAAACGTTCATTGATTGCAATATAGTTTTAACTAATCAATCATTGTGAAACAGTGTTTTTGATATTTGTGAACGTATTAAAAAGCAAAACGGATTTGAAGAATTAAACAGAAACTGATAAAAAGTAGATTAATGCGATGCATTATAGACAGTAGAAGGAGTGTCTATGTCCGTGGGTAGACATCACGTACGGACGTTCATTAATCGATAAATCTCATTTAAGGCATTATGATGTGATAATTATTGACAAATATTCACAACTTCACACATTCCCTAGGCTATGTAGAAACCGTCAACTTTGTCTAATTAGTTTTCAGAGGTTTATTCAAATGAACATGCAAATATGACGCTAAGTTTATGTTATTATGCAACTCCTAAATTCTTTTTTAAACATCGCTTCCCTGAGTTTGTTTGATTACAATATAAATGATGTTGATATATTCATTTTAAATCAATTGTTTCGGCAGCGCTGTCCGATTAAACAGAATCTATTTAGTTCCGGCGATGGGTTCGGTAACGTTATGGTATTAGGTATGTAGATTAGGTTCTAAGTTATTACCCATGCCTGCAGTGTATACTCAAACATGTAAATATTTGCACAAGTAATGAAATTTACTCGCCTCGCTCACGGTAAACAGATTTTCGCGGTTTCATTAACTTACCATATATTTTGAAGCAAAAGTGATTACTAAAATGAAATATTATCCGTAATTGAATGTTAAGTACCTGTGTCGAGTACTAGTGCCGATCTATCTCCCAGGATGACAGTCCGGCTGCGTGGCCCGGGGCAATGACAGTCCCGATTATCTGTTAATTATTGTTGTCGAGAAATAGGAGGTAATCAAAGCTAACCGGCCAACTTCTAGTTTAATCAGATCGATAGTACGAAGCTTAAAGGCCTATATGCCGAGATTCTCTAACCGTCGCGCTTGATTGAACATGGCTGAGAACAGATGCGCTCAGAATTCTCCCCTAAGCACTTTATGCCACTAAGAAGTGTAACACCGTTTAGTTAACACCCTTGACTCCTCCGTGGCAACAGTTTTGGTTTGAAGGCAGAATGTTTTACATCATACCAATAGCGTCA